GCTACTGTCATTTTTCTGACTTTTTTTCTATGGGGATATTCTTAAATGATGTCTATTTGTTCATCTTGCTTATTACAGTCCATTTTTAAGCCTGTCGCAGAGCTCTTGTGACCCCTGTCGAACGTCACAAGCACACAACCCCCAAACTGCTAAATAAAATGGAATAAAAAAGAAAATTCTTTGAGGCAGTAAAAAATAAAGCATAAGTGTGAGATTTATTCATTTCACATGACCTATCATTTTGGTTTTTCGACGATCCTTTTCTTTATTTCATTTTATTTTTTTCTCCCTTTGTTCTTGCTAAATCACGGGATGTTGAGGATGAAAGAATTTTTGTCCAAAATCGGAATGAGAAATGAAAATTTCTCTAAAAGGATATTTTATGGGCTTTGTATTGTCGGAATGAAGGGAGATGAGGATGATGGGGGTGGTATGGAAATGATGTTAAGGATTTAGGAGGTATTAGGGCTGTGTGACAATCTTGTTAAAGAGTGAGTGTTCAAAAAGTTCTATTCATCGATGTGGATGCACAAAATGAAGAAAATGTGATGGGTTGCAGAAATCGAAGTCTCCAGGACACTTAAAATACTTACTAAACGGACTCTTCTAGATCACGTCTAAGCTAACAATACCAAGACCATACTGTAATACCATGTGTGCTGTAGTATTCCTAATGAAGCTAAGGTTTGACTCAATCTTTACTTTTTAAACTTCTAAATTGGCATCAGGTGCTAAGAATACTTGTCAAACTCATTTATTGACATTACTGATGAATCCCCCCTGAAAAATTCTAATATCCAAGTAAGGAATGTTCATGTATAAAATTCCTTTTCTACCCTTAAAAATCCTTTTATCTTGTTTAAACATTTTTCACTTCTTCTTCATACTCAATGGACGGATAGACATTCATGTGGTATAATGACCTTCGGAATGAAAACTAAACCCAGCACAAAAAATGCTGTTGTAAAGGAGATTAAAGCAAAAAAGACTGAGGAAAGTGACATTTTTTGGGGATCAGAAATATTTCTTTTTCATCACGCTGGAATAAGCTTGATGCTGTGGGTGCACACAATGTAGAAATAAATAGGCAAGAGGAAGAAAATCCAACTGCTTTATGGATGAGGAAAGGAAATTAAAGAAATGGAAAATAGCACTGTTCACTTTATTAGTTAAATTGCTAGAAGGGACTATAAATTCTAATTCCTACAACATCGGAGCTTATACAAATAGTTATGGCATGCGGGGTGAAAAAGGGACGAAAAGAAATTTTCTTCAACGTTCCTTAATTTTTTGTGTACACGAAGAAGTTTTCCTTTCCTTTATGCCTAACAGAAACTTAAGTCAAACATACCCACATACTGCCTTTCAGCACCTTAAAGAAATTCCATCATATTACGAGAAATGATTCAGTCTTTCTTGCTTCCTGCTTCTACAACTACCGCAATGGAAGAAGAAGGCATTTGATAGACAGTTAAAAGGCATAAGAAGTTGTTTGGTAATTGTGAATGACGAATGATAGTTTATATTTCATATTTTTTCATATCTGTGTCTTCATACGTGCGCTTCTAACAACATTCGGTTGTGGCTTCAAAAATGAGAATGAGTGGATGGAGAGAAAAAAGAACGAAATCCGGAAGTGGTTTTTTGGCACATTTTTCGTATATTCGAGTCAATGGGAATTGGTAGTAGATATGACTTTTGATGATTATGGCGCATTTTTGGATTATATTGATTAAAACAGGAGTAGTGGATTAATTAGAAATATACTGAGTGGGACTGATGTTTACTCGGAGCTATAACCTACTAGCTACATCCTACTAGCTTCAATCTGCAAGCTTCAATTTACTAGCTAAACTACTAGCTAGATACTAGCTTTAGATTCTCTTACTCAGAGAAGTTCGCAGTCCAAAGGAAGGACAAGGTTGATCTGTGCATGAATAAGATTCCATCCAGAATAATTAATTGCAGGAAAATCAATCAGAACAAGAGTTACACCTATGTAACCGAGTTTACATTAAGCAACATACATGTTCGATTTCCAATCAATCAAGCCATAGTTAAAATCACAAATGTCACTAACCTCTAGTCCATAGCGACAAAAAGTCCCACACAAACCTTTCAATTCCCAAAAAAGCATGTACACCATTCTATTTTTAATCAAGCACACAAAAATGTCTGTGGATATGTGGAGGAAGTTTAAATAATAATGATGAAAGGTTTCACTTTCAAGCAACCTTGAGGAAATGGAAATAGAAATCCATATACATGCATCCATAACCCCTTTTTTTCATGACGATGATGATGATGTATGGTTAAAAAGCAGAGAATAAAAAAAAAAATCTGACCAGTCATTCTATAAATGACGTTATGTAAACATCATAAATGGAAGGAGGATATGAGGTTGACTTTAACCTGAAAAAAGTCACACTTTACTAACCCAATTTGTTATTTTTTAATTAAAATCCGTAATAACATAAATATTGTCCTACCAATGATTAATTTTTATGGTCACACACATACATAAAAGTTGTAGTGATGAGGAGGAAATTACACTATAATTTATCCTTTATCTTCTATCATTTCTCAAATTTTATGCATCCATTAAACCATCTTCTTCCTATCTGGTCAGCATATACTGTTGTTATGAAAATTAATTTTTATCATCTGTTGTTCAATAACAACTCATTTTTCATGAAACATCTTTTAATTGCATACTTGGTGCTTTCTGTCTTAATCCTCCCTTCTTCTTATGACATTAATTTTGTTCAGCAAGGCTTCTGGAATTATTTATGAGTGTATGCATGGGTTGTGCTCTATTTTATGATCGTTATGTAATGAAACAATGGGAATTGGTGAGAGTGAACATTATTGCATCTTGCAGTGGATGCTTTTAGGTATGAAGGTGTCTTGGGCTTATTATGAGATTGAATTTGTAAGGTTTAATAATAAGCATATCCATAGAATTTAATGGATGTAATATTAATAATAGAAGCTAAGAACAATATGCATGTGTAGACAGGTCTGTTGACTATTTAGATCGATTCTTACAAGGCTTGAGGAAACAAAAAGCTTCAAATATTAATAAATTCAAATTTATCCAATATCATTTCAATTATCTAACATTAAGCCCATTTCCCTTAGAAATTCAAGATTTTTAAAAATAGAAATTAAAAGCATAGAAACTTGATACCCATGAAAAAAATATTTCTGTAGACTCAATAAAGAAGCCAAGGATGAGAAACAAAGAACACAATAAAATGCTGATTTAATAAAATTTAATTGGGATGCCGAGCCCTAAAAAAGTTTTTTTATGTACACAATATATAGCATTAATATAGGTGAACTTAATTGCTATATACAACAGGTTGTTGCCTTGCATATTTTAGAAGAATAAAAAGTTATGAGGATGAAAAATTTTCCTACGTTAAAGGTTATGTTGAATAATTAAAGTTGAATATTTATTTGACCTTAATTCATAAGCAGGAAAGAGGATAAATGTGACTGATAATATAAATCAGGATACGATGATTCAAACACCCCACGATAAGCTCTTCAGCACATTAAAAGCTTCATTCCCTTGAAAAAAAGCTATTCTACCGGATGACGTAGATGACAATGATACCGATGGGATATCACAATATTTTGCGGAAGAGTCTCCGCTCAATTTATGATCCAAAAAAATTTATTTGCGGAAATACTAGAAATATAAATTAATGCAACATTCATAAAATATTATCATAGCTACAGAAATGAAATAAATCCTTCAAAGTTCTATTAAAAAATTCCTAACGGATAATTAAATTAAAATATGTTTCTTGCTTCGTCTCTCTGGCTGTGTTGATAGGAACGTACACACGGATATGCACATATAAAGTTGACTACAATGACTTTTTTTTCGGAAGAAAGATAGAAATGAAATAGGAACTTTTTTGGGGTCGCTTTGGTTGTTATGGAACGCAATGAACTGAAGTCACATGTTATGTACCTACTAAGCTAGCGTAAAGCTTTTCTGTTCCTTAGCTTCAGATCTACTCAGCAAGTAAGAAAATATGGTCGTAAGAACAGAAAAAGAGTTTAAAATCAATCCATCAGCTTTATTAAATAATTGAGGGATTCAAATCCTTACCTTGGTCCTAATCATAGTCTGGACGCTGACTTACTCTTAACCAAACCCCCTTACTTCTCTCCAGATCCCCCTTCATCGTGACAAACGATCAAGTCCCATTTTGGATATGAGAGAATTTTCATGAATTCCGGATGTTATATAGGAAGTAAAAGCGAGCATAAGAAACGAAAGATAAAATGCGAGAGTGAGATAGAGTAAAAGGGCAATAAAGAGCTGTAGACTATTCAGAGACGAGTTTTGCATTCTTTACGTATGAAATTTATTGTCTCGAGTTTATAATTTGTAGTTTTAATATTGTCAGCTTTCTAGTGCAATTCACATATCCTGCGAGTGTATATTGCAGAAAGGACATTGTTGTTTATGTACGTTGATAAACATAAAAAGGAAGAATGTTGGCACTAAAAATTGAAAACAATGTTTGACTTGATTGTGTATGTAATATTGCTAACAAAACTAGTTGGAAGATAATCGTTATAAATTAAAAAGTTGCACTCTCTCGTGCACCCTACTTGATTTGTAATGCTGTCTGTTGTAGCTACTTCTTTTGGAAAGGAAAATTTAATTGACTTCATTTTTGGTGTACTAGGAGCTTCCATAGTTTATTTTGTAAGTGTTATAGTCGAACTTAGATTCGAACAATGACTTATAAGCTAAAGTAAAAATGACTCCGTTGACGATCTTGGTTTTGAACCTAAATACGGTTCATAAAAGTGATAAATGTCTTAAATGTGTATCTTAAATAAAGAATTATTTCAGAAAAAGATGTATTGTCATCGCAACTGTACAAATGTTGTTTTAACGTTGAAAATTTTTTGAGTAAATTGTTGTAGACTGTTTTATATTTCGGTTTCTCAGTTCCAATTCATTCTCTAATCATGAACTGTCTCAATATTTTCATCAATTTATCAGTTGGTTTTTTAATAATTGCAAAGTAAGTTGTTCTTCTCAATATAGTTTTGGGCTTAACCATCAAATATCTATAGTTGGAGCTGGTTCCGTACCAACTCAGATAATTTTCAAAAATCCAAAATTAATTCAGTTGATTATTTTAAACTAAAACATACAAAATATAGATTGATTCCAAAAGTATTAACATATTTGCTGGAAAAGCTTTATGGAGTGAAATTGAATGTAAAGTCAGTGAAGCTATTAAGTGCATCAATATACGACCTTAACATCAAATGGAAAGATGGGGAAGTAGTGAGTAATGAAATTAATTCAAAATTTTAATAATTGATAATTACCATTTGCAGTCAGTTAAGGAAATCAGTTTCAATAGTAAGCTCTTTGATAAATCATTCAAAAAACTTGTATGCGCAACATTCAAAACTGTCGAAGTTTCTGTTTTTAATCGTTCTGATTTAGAAAAATCGAACGGTTTAAGAAGTCTTCTGATATGTTTCAATCCGAAAGTTGTTCAGTTCATTGAGGTAAGTTCACACAAATGCAAAACTATTCAAACTAATTGTTTTTTAAATTTCAACTTCTAGATGTTTGAAATAACCCTCGAAAATTTTTTGTTTGTTATATTCGAAGCAAATATGAAGATCAAGACAAAAATCTGTCAGCGTGTTTTTAAATTAAATTCAAATGATTTTACTAAAAGTTTTAAAAAAGTTTCTACGAACAACATTGAATTTTTGAAAGTGAAAAGTAAAAATGAGAGATGGAAAAACTTTCCAGCAACCTACTTCCATCCAGAATTCAATTACTTTACTAACCAATACAAAGATTTTGAGGTTCGTAAAGATGATATTTTTATTGCTGGATTTCCACGTTCAGGAACATCACGTACCCAAGAAATGGCATGGCTTATTGCAAATGATTGTGATTTTGAAACTGCTTTGAAGTATAAATTGGAAGTGCGGTGTCCAAACCTTGAGTAAGTTTGAATTCATTGTTTTAGTTCTAAACTTTTTAAAATAATTAAAATTATATTTCTTAATTTAGTAACTTTATGTCGACCTTTCTATTCCATCAACATACATTGGCCTGTTCCTTGGATGATATGCCAAGTCCAAGAACCATAAAGACTCACTTACCCATCCAACTTCTTCCTGATCAAGTGTGGACAAAAAAGCCTAAAATAATTCATATATCAAGAGATGTTAAGGATGTAGCAATCTCAAACTACCACTTTTGGAAATCAATGAATATCAACTGTCCAGATCTTAGAGAATTTTTAAATTGTTTTTTGAATGATACTATCCAATATGGTCCATACAGAGAAACAGTACACAATTATTTGAATATTCCTAATTATGAGAATATCATCTACATTACCTATGAGACTATGCATGCTGATCTTGATGGAACAATTATGAAGATTTCTAAGTTTTTAGAAAAACCGATTTCCTTTGATAATTTACAGAAATTAAAGGATCATCTTTCATTCGAGAAGATGAAGAGTAAGTATATTAAGCTACTGGAACTATCTCCAACTTTTCACTAAACCTACACAAAATAAATTTTAAATGAAATTATTAAAAAAACCTTTAATTTTAACCACCTATAGATAATAAGGCAACAAATAACAAGGAAATCTTGGCAGACTTTCAAAAGTTTAGAAATGGTGAAGAAGTCGACAGTGACAATTTTATTAGAAAGGGAATAATTGGAGATCATAAGAACAGTATGTCTAAAGAATATATCGATAGATTTGATAAATGGTGGTCAGAAAGAAGCTTATTAAAACAAGGATTCTAATGTTAGAAAATATCAAGATGATTTTTAAAGTTTACATGCTCAGGATGTTTTAGATTCTTGGTACGAAGTAGCTTTGATGCTTGAAAGTCATTAAACAACATTTGAACTTCTAATTTTATCAGCTTTTGAAGTGCTGAACTATTAAAAACTATCCTCATTAGTTTAGAATCTTGTACATGATTCTGGTCCAGTAATGTGCAATCTGTGTGATATGATTTAAAAATGGACTGTGGTTTACATTGAATTCTGTTGCGAATTTATTTTTAAACGTCTGATATGAAGGATTTTGGAAGGATGTTATAAGCTAAAAATTATGTCAGTTCTCAAACAGTGTCAAAGAATCCTTAATCTGCTTATTTTAAAGAAATAAAAATCACAAACTCTCAAACTCCAAAAAAATCACAAACTTTTCACTATCGACTTTTATTATTCATTTAAGTTTTGCAAGATTAATGGCAAACTTTTGAACTTTTATTATCATTCTTCAATGCAGCATAGCAACAGTTCATCCCAACAGATTGAATCACCTTGAGTCTATAACAAAGTTCGAAAAACTAAGTTCATATAACTGCAAAATATTTTGTTTGAAGCTGGAGAAGCACTAAATACTGTAATGTCCTTCGAAATGAAGTGCTGTATATATTTAGTGCATTTGTACGTAGTTCCATCACATGCTCGACAACAGTAGCAAAGTAATCTACTATCAGAGAACAATCGAAAAAAATAGAGAGAGAACAAAGCATGGACAACAAAAACAAGTAATGACATAAAATGAAAATTATTTTTGAGTTCCTGCTGCAGCCAACAACAATCTGAAATATGAGACTTTTAATCTAAACTGCTGCATTGTATTATTGCTGCTATGGTGACTACTTCGTAACATTTTTTAGGTTACTTATGGGGATATTCATCTGTTACGTCTAAGGTTTGTTTGATGCTGAATGTGTTGTAGTATTAAGTGCTTTTTAGGATATGCAGCTTGTAGTCACAGCTCTAGTTAACCAAGAATGAAGCCCTATTCTAATATATAACAATGTTTTGTGGCAAAGGATGGATCATTTTCTTACTGACATCACTAAGTATAACCCCATACGTAAACATTCATTTTACACTGTTATGTACATCAAGTCCTTCTCATGTCATGGACGGACTGACTTCTGTTTATATTGTAAAATTTTTGCGTGATAACTGAAGCATACTTGACCCACTTCAGGCTATAAGAAGAAATAAAAATATAAAAAACATTAAAATGAGGTCTCGCCTGCTCGTTACATAGTTGGGGCTCTAAAAAATGTGTACTTAATGTTTGAATAAAAAACGTAAATTATTTTTCTATTATACGTTGTTGGGGGTTTCTTCTGCTTTACGTTTTTTAGTCTTCTATTTAAAATTAATTTTCATTATAAGCATTTAAGTATACAGCTTGGCAGGATTTTCCAGTTCTGTGTACTTACATCCATACATACAGTGGCCATGACAATAAATCAGTAAATCCGCTCTCTTTGCCATCTTCTTAATTTTATAGAAAGAAAAGAAAACGCAAGGAAGGAACAAAAAAAAATTAATCTCGAATTTCTATTGGGGGTTGTTTGTCAATGATGTTGAATTTTAAGGAGTTGAGGCTATTTAAAGTATACGAGAATCCTAAGATTTGGAGAATGGTAAGTTCAAAATTGCCCCCCCCCCCCCGCTATACCTGAACACCAAAGGACCTTAGTTTAACTTAAGTGGAAGGTTTGATTATGCTTAACAGCAGTTGACTCAAGAACATTGACAGTCGATAACAAAGTTCAAATGACATCACTTAAAAAATACCCCAAAACAATCTTCACTTAATTAAATTTTGAGGATAAAAATTACTCGAGGATGGGAAATAAATTTAAAATGTGCATGGAAATGAAATTAAAATTCAAATTCTTAAGAACTTTAAATAGACAAAGCAATTCCCCACTTTAGATGAGCAATAACTTTTAACATTTTAATTCTTCCTTGTCTGATTTTTGCGTTTATTTCCTATTTTTCCAATGATTAATTTTCAAATAACATTAATTTTACTGGGTATTGAATTGAAAAATTCTTCATCTCTTGAATTTCGAGGGGGAATTAAGACTTAAAAAAAAATTCACACAGACTCATTTCTATTATTATTATTGTTACTAAACAGTATTTCTGAGTGGTGTGAAGCACCAGTGTGGAACATTCAAAAAGTGGTTTTAATGAACATGTAACAAGCATATATAAAAGCCATTATAGATTTACAATAAATTACACCACATTATCGAAAATTGTTAGCATATTTATTTAAGATGAATTGTTCATTTTGGGCTTGATGAACGCCTCGGATTATTGATCTTGGTATCTTGAGATTTATTTTTTTTAATGCAAGCAGATTAAATTTTATGTTTAATTTAATTTAATAAATTTTCTACTTGGGATGATGTTAGGAAAGAATAAACAAGAATCTGGTCGTGTGTTTGACTTGAGGCTGTTTTTTTAAAAATCCATCAAAAATATTTGGATTGAAATTCTTATTAGAATTTAATGTGGGGAAGGCTGGAGGGGCTATTAAAAATATTAAGGAATATTATTTTAAAGCTTTATAGCTTGAAATTTAAAAATTATAGCATTAATCATAAGGTGATACTTGATTCTAACCTACAAAAATGCGTTTTGAGCTGCTCATAGCACAATTATTCTTTCTCAATAAATATGTGGAAATATGAATGCTAGTTTAAGAACATTATTATTATAATAAATTATTCTGAAATTGCGCAGCTCTTGAGTACTTTGCAGGGATGTAGACTGAAAATGTAAGAAAGGGTTGTCAAAGATTTTTATGATGGAATTTTTATTTTAAAAATGTAATAGATTTGACTTTAAGGTCAGGTTTCTGAGACTTCCCAGGACACACTAGAGTAGGAATGAGTCGCTATACTAAAATATGGACTACCAAAGAACCTAAAATTTGGACAAGCCTGAGGAGGGTACCCTGGGTAGCCTTAGAAATTAATCATCAGATATAGCTTAGTGAGTGAAAGTTGTATCGAATTTAAATCTTGATAAGGAGGGGAAGGGGAGGGAGGAGGTGTTTGCCTGGCCATTTGACTTACGACTCTCACAGTTTGAAATGTAAAAGGCTTGAATTAATCTTAAAGCATTTTTTAAAAAATAATTTCACATCTAAATCTTCGTTTCAATAATGACAAAAAATATATAAATTCTCCATTCGTTCATTACCATTTAATAAATATTCAACTGATACTCTTCATATTGCAAATTGCATATAGCATCGCATGGTCCATGTGCTCATAATTTTTAATTAAAGTTGCTTCTACGTAATGAATTGAAAATCAATTGTTATTGCTGCGAGCGAGTAGCAAGGAAAATACTGACCCTAAAGTTATATTTATATTTCATATTTATTATTTATATTGTGTTCGTACATAATGCACAACTTCAACCCAGGTGATAAATAAATGAATTGAAGGGGTTAGTTTATTAAATCCATAATTCACTAACTCTCATTTCTCTATCGTCTGGGCCAGCCATGATTAAACAATTGAGAAAAAAAGGAGATTTTTTTGCTGCCTCAGCCCCGTATGTGCTGAAAAAATTCGTTCGACAAATAATAACAATAGGTAACAATACAAAGGTAAACGAGGCTAAATAACGTTTATATAGAGAGAATAAAAAGACCATATAGACGTAGCGAAAAATGTATACACTATATAGCAACAATAGATCGTAGAATCAAGTATGTTTTGAGAGGAGGGTAGCAAGCAATTTTCTGAGGTTGGTTATTTTGATTATGTTTGCACAGCTTCAACGTAAAATAAATCAAAAAAACTAAATGAATTCAAATGATTGTCTGAAAGCCACAATTTTCAGTTGTTTTACTTCGATCCAGTCTGTATACACACATGAACAACAACTTTTACGTATTTATTTTAGGGGTCGTTTATAAATGATGTCCAAAATCAGGATTCTCAACACTATGTCATACACAATTGTCAAATGTCACACAGCAACAGACTTTCAGTTCTAAATAAATTAGACATCATTTATGAACGATCCCAATATCCATAGAACCACATTTGAGTGAGAAAAAGAAATTTAAAGTTTTTAATTAACAAATCACTGTTGTATGGAAAATTTTAATTGTAGTGTATTTTCATTCTATTCATGTTGCGACTACTTTCTCACACCTCTCTACCCTACCCGAAAAAAAGTCTGACTTCATCTTGTCGAGAGAACGAAAACGAGAGAAAAGAAATTTATTTTGCAGCCACAATTGCCTCATAACCTATGAAGCAGTTAAAGTTTGGCATTGGAAAAATGATTTTTTTAGCATTTTCCCTCGAGACAAAACCACAGGAATAGATTTGTTAAATAGAAGCAGGTTGATGAAAAACAGCAGTTAGCATGGTAGATTTTTTAATGTGCTTGACTTCTTTACAGTTGGGAATATAAAGAATTGGATGTTTTTTGGTGTTTTTCAAGGTTGATTGAATTTTGTTGCGTAAGTTTTGGAGTTTTGTGGATTAAATGGATCATTTTGGTATCTTAAAGTGACGCTTAGCCGGAGTAAAGCTCAGCTTGAATGATGTTCAGCTTTAGTGACGTTCAGCTCTAATGACGTTCAGTTTCATATTCCATTTAACTGCTAAATCGTATCAATAACTTCTCAGTTCCTTCCATTTCAATTACAAAAAAAAATCCAAAAGAAGTTCAGCCTTTTGTAATAAATATACGCGTCCAGACAATAAACAACTGTTAGCAATCCAAAACTTCTTTTATTGTAGTGTGATGTAATTTGAGACTACAGCAGTATTAATATTTTACATGAAAAAATAGTATTTTTTTTAGATCCGAAAAGGAGGAGTAAGCATGACAGGCTGTCAGAATTGAAACTTTTTTGTATAGGAAAAAAATAGAACAAAAGTAAATAAAAGTGAATTACGAAATGTCACTCAAAATTTATTCTTCTTGACATCGAAATATAACATATTTTTGAGGTATGACATGGAATTCTATTAAAGTTTAGTCACTGTGGATTTTTATTCATTTCAATAATTCCATTTTAATCGACTATGAAGTTTTTTTTACACTTTTTAAGCCTCACATCCTAACCCCTTGACGGACATTTGAGATATTAAAAACTTTATTATTCGTTGCTTAAATAAAACTTTTACATTTCCATCTTCATTGTTTTTAAGCCGACAATATAAAAAATTACTGGTTGCGGAAGTGAAAAGAAAACTTTTCAAATTTTTTCCTGCTTTGAATTTTTTTCCGCCCGGTTTGGTTTTTGTGTGAATGTATACATTGATAAGGGTTGATACATTCTCAAGTGAGGTATTTAAAGATGGAATTACAAATTTGATTGGCT